GCCTGCTTCTCCCTCTCCCAGTTCCCCTTCTTGTGTTCCTGCACTCACTATCTCTCTGTCAAATAAATAAATAAAATATTTTTTTAAATCTTTATATATCAATAATATATTTGTTATTAGATTTAAATATTTATTTGGTAGTACTGGTGACATGCAGTCAATCACCTTGCTTTTGGTTACAAAGAAAAGCAAATGGGAAGAAAGATCAGTACGGGCCTATTATCGCCACTAGAAAAATAAAGTGCAACCCTCTCTTATTGATCAGGAGTCAAGAAAGCCATCTTTGCATAGTCAACAATGATGTTTTTTCATTTATCTGTGCCCTGGCTCATCCCAAAAGAAAAAAAAAAAAGATTTAAAACTGTAAATGGCTATTAACACTAAAACTTAGCTTTATTTATATTACATTTACGTATATACAGTCTTATTACACAAAGCATTTAGGAAGCTGGATTTGATTTCTTAGTAAATTTTGCCATCCTCTTACTAAAAATCGTGTATATGCTTTATATACTGATGATAAATATAAACTACACAGCAAAATGCCTAGAACATAGTAAGCAATCCATAAAATATAGTTATTATTAGCATCAGGCTATAAGCTTGAGGAGGGAATGGACTATCTCACTCTGTCTTGCTCAGCGCTCTAGCTCAGGAAACCTAGCCCGTTATCTAGTCCATAGCCGGTACTCAATACTGTAGAATAAACAAATGACTATGACTTAAGAGTAATTCTCAACTCTCACCTCTTTTATGGCGACCAGGACCCCACCTCCTCTAATCAACAGCAAGGGTCTGGAAAAACCATACCCAGAGGAAAGGCATTTAAGTTCCTGTTTGTATTTCCTTAAATTCACCACAAAGAGTCCCCCCTTCTGTCCCAAAACCAAAAAATCAATGCTTTGCAACAAAGTATTCTTAAACAATACTTTTGCTTCATTTCCCCTCACAGACAATGCACAAAGTTCCTTAAAACTGCAAGACTTATTTAGTTCCCTTTACCCCTTAAAAAGGAAAGGCATATTTATAAAACCTTATTGATTCTCAATTTCCAGTCTGATTCCTTGATCTTCGATTCATAGTTGGTTATCATACAGGATGCTATTTGCTTTTCTACCATATACTTAGAACAAATTAAAATAACGAAAATAGGCTTAATATTAAAAAACTTAAGTTATACATCAAAGCATATCACACTTTGGAACAATCAAATTAGAAAACTGACACCTATTTCAGTGAGGTTGCATTCCTTAAAATGCTTTCAGAGATTCTTTTTTGGAACAGACTTCAGATCCAGTTCTACAAGTCACACAAGAAATTCGGTCATTACTTTATAGCTACAACTCCTATTTGACCTAAAACAGTATGACCAATCTGAATGCCTAATCTTTTTCACCAGACTTGAGTACAAGTTCTCTAAATTATTTTAATTCAGTTTGATTGCGTTATTTCCTAAAATCAAATCTGTTCTCAAAGGATGATAGTAGTAAAAAATAACAGAGGCTCCAGAATGGATACTAAGAGAAATTTAAAGGGAGGGGGCAGTTTTCTGCAATACCCAAAAAACTAATTGAAAGAACAACTTCAAATAATTCTGAACGAGATACCACTTAATTGTAAATCTGAATTCCAGTATTTCCAATCCAAAGTCAGTTACATTTGTTTACAGTCAATTGTCACATAATATCAGATGTATTTCCCTCCATCATTATACTATAGGTTACAATTTAAATCCCTTAACAGAATTACTACTAAAAAAAAAAAAAAACACATAAGAAACTGAACAGTGGTTGTCTCTGAGGAAAGGAATAGCATGATTGGAGAACAAGAAGGAAAGGATACCTTTCATTAAATATCCTTTTATGCCTTTTGAATTTTATACAATGTGAACACATGACCTATTTTTAAAAATCTGTTTGGCAAAATTACTTCCAAGTGTCAGATACTGCTGGCTTCTGTAAGCCACAAAAGTATAGTACTAAAGAAATGTAAAGGTCATTTTAATGACACTTCACTGTAAATCTGAATCTTCAGTTTCAGTGTAGAGTTATTCATACCAACAGCAGGAAAACCTTACAAGCATTTCTTTTCAAGTTTACTAAACTCCCCAGAGTTGAGTTATTCTGCTGTATCATTTTATTAAAGTTTAAATATCATTGGAAACAAAAACCTGGTACTACAAAAATTAATGTCAACTGAAGAATGAAAAATAAAGGTAAAAAAGTAAGCTATCAAAGGAGCAATGATCTAAATAAATCTTTGAAAATTTGCAAATCAATCACGCACACATATATACACATCTATAGTAAAATGTCGCAAATTCCCTTAAAATCTAAAATGCCATATTATTAAAAAAAAATGGAGATGTCAAGCATGGAGCCATCAGCAACATTAACTCACACAGCTTGAACTAGAAGACGCAACATGATCTGTTTCCTGACACAATTGCATAATCTCAATTACCCAGAAGATTCTACCAAACAGGAAATTCATGATGTGACTTCAAGAAACACAGGAATTATAAAGATTAACACATCCAAAAGTCTGGAATTTGTTCCAAAACAAAAAAATAATTTTATAGAGCCCTTTTCAAATGATGCATGCACATGAATACATGAATTAGTCTCAAATCAGCAGCTCTCAAGTTACAGTAAATCTAAAATCGAGTGTGTAATACCTAAATTAGTGAAATATTTCAGATCCAGAAATTTTATGGTATCAGTTTAATTTAAAACACCCAGTGTGATTTAAAGATGAGACGTGTCTCTTCCTTCCTTTGCTATAGACTATTCCTTCCTTTGCTATATAGATCTTTACGAAAACCATCGTGTACCTCAGGCTACAAATGCAGATAAGTTCCCTGCAAACTCTCTCAGGGACTTTAAAAAAAAAAAAAAAACTCAATATTCACAAGATGTACTGCAATTTAAAAATATTTACAATACATCGCAGCATTGTTAGTAACTTCTTGCTCTTGAGCGCGTCCAACGGATCTGAATCTCGCTTGCTCCAAAGGGGAAAATTGTTTTGCCAAACAATACTTAAATGAGCAGTGGTATGTGACTAATCAGTGAGGCCGCCAGCTTCTCAAGCTGCAGTGTTCTTGCAGGCACTACCACCCACCCCCACTCTGCAGAAAGGAAATACGCTTTCAACCGAATCGGAAACACACCACTCAAGCTGGCACTGTGCTGGCCGAGATAAAGTCGGTATTTTAGGTTCCACGGGTCGCTGCTAATGCAAGTGCGAATTCAAAACGAATGCTTCTCAAAATGAGATTTCGAAAGAGGTTTGCAAAAAAAAAAACAAAAAACAAAAAACAAAACAAAACAAAAAACCGGACAGAACGCCCTTCGTCGTCGTCAGTTTTGTTCGGACAACTGCAGTCTCCCGGTCGAGCTTTGCCCTTCTGCTTCTCCCTGCAGCTACCCGGGCTTGTCTGCTTTGAGGGCGGGCTTTGGCGCCCAAAGTGGACGCACCTCCCGAGAGGATCTTGCTGCTGGATGCTGGCAGGGAGACCCCCGAAGAGGCACCCCAGCCCCCGTGCCTGCCCCCGGAGCAGCAACCCCCACAAGAAGGGCTTGCGCAAGGTGCGAGCTGGGGCCGAGCTCCAGCACCACAACCCACCGTGGACCTGCATCCTGCACACAGCTGACCGCCTACCTGGGGGTGCAGAGTGAGGGGTGCAAGGGGTACAGGGAGTGCAGGACAGGGGTCCAAGAGGCAGCGGTGCCCTCCCCCAAGGAAAATTCCTGCCGCTTGGTGCATCGCTGAGCTATGGGGGCAGGCCTGGCTCTGGGGTATTAAGGGCCACTCAGCCCACCGCAGACCCAAGCCCGGTGACACTCACCACACGGAGCCATAGGCACCAGAGCCCACCGGGGAGAGATTCTGGTAACGCTCGGGCACCTCCCAGATTGTCTTGTTCAGCTCCTGCCGGTAGAACGTGGGCCTCTCCTGAGACATCTTCCAGCGGCGGCCGCGGGGCTAGGAGGTGGCCCTGAGGGGCCCCGCCTGCGCCCGCTCCCGCTCCCTGGCCCTCGTCGCCCGCCCGGCCGGGCGGGGACCTGGAGGTGGCAGTCGGCGCAGGTGCGGCAGAGGCGACCCCGCCGACTCCCCAGCGCGCGGCCCCTGTCAGCCGCAGCTGCGGGACGCGCCTCAGCGACGGGAGCGAGCCCGGCTAAGGGCAAGAGCACGCTCCGGAGCTCAAGGCTGCTCCCACCACGCTCTCCCTGCACCCTCTCCCAGACCAGGCCGACTCCCGGCTGCCGCGCGGGACTACGGCTCCAGCTGCAGCGCCCGCTGAGGTTCCAGTGGTCGCCGTTCCAGAGCCAGCGAACAGGAGCCTCTTGCCGTACTCTCGCGAGAGCAGCTCCCGGGACTCTCCGCGAGCCGAGATTTTACCCAATATGGAACCTGCCCACGGGAGGGGGTTGACGACGGGAGAGGATGGGAGGAGCACTTCTCGCGAGAAAAGAGCAACAGCTGGACACCAGAGGCAAGAACTCTCCCGGACTTAAGGGCGCGAAGGCGGACCCGGGAAGGAAGGGATAAGCTGGCAATGTATGCCGCGTGCGCCCCACCGTGGTCGGCGGGGTAAGTGCCTGGCTCCGTTGTAGAAAGCGACAGTGACTAATAGGATGTCGGGAAAAGAGCCAAAAGATCTTTGAACTGCCTGTAGTCACCAGCAGCCAAGCATCTGCTAAGCAGAACACCCAATTTCCAAGAAATATTTACATTAAAAAAAAGGAAGATTCTGGCCAGAAAGCCGTTGTATTCCATCTGCTCAAGGACATACGGCTTAATCTTTGGAATTGTGACTAACTCTATCCCAAAAGCAAATATTAGCTCTGCATTAAGGCTGCGGTTTTCCATCCAAACTCTCATAGCGGTTCTTAAACTTTTATGTGCAGAAGAATCACTTTAGATGTTTAAAAATGCAAAGGCTCAGGATCCACAGGGGGTCCGTGACAGGCTCCAAGAATGCGCATTTTTACAAAATGCCCCAGGTAGTTCTGATTAAGGAAAGTCTCCGGTATCTCCCTTTGAAAGGGGTTTTGAAACATTACTCAGAGGGTTTGAAACTGATTTCTGCTCTGAAGCTTCCAGTGAAAACGATTTTAAGCATTTGATTCATGCCTCTCAGATTAAGAAGGAGAGCAAGGCAGAGAGTGGTCTTCTGGCAGTGTCACATCAGGCAAGTCGATTGACCTTTCTTAGACCTTCATTCTAGTTCTGGAAAAATAATTCCTGCAAAAATAATTCCTGCCTTACATTCCCACCTAATAGGGTCATTTATAAAGCTGAACAAAATAAGTGTGACTGGGCAAGATATTATAACCACATACCTACCCCCACTTATAAGCTTGTCACAATCTCTCTTAGAAATAACTGGGTCCAAGCCAGGACACTTCTCAACACTTACCATGATTATTCTCTTTAGTGTTACGCATCCCTTGGAGTGCTCCGATTTTGCCTGTCTTGTCCCAGCATCTTGCACAGTGCCTGGAACATAACTGGTACACCATAAATATTTATTGGACTAATTATGAATAATGACCATGATCTCAGTTTAGGAGGTAGTGCAGGATCCTCAGTTCTCCTTGAGGAAAAACAAAAACCAGAATCATGGATGATTCATGGAAAGCTTTTCTTTGGGGGATTCAGTGTGGCTTAGCCTGGATTCTCTTGCCTATGAAGACATCCTGCTTGAAAATGTTCCAAAATGCGGGTTAGGGAGCTTTCCAAGAAGTAATGAAGGTTGAAGGAGGAAGTAAGAGCAAAAAATATGACTGTGATATGGCAGGTAGAAGTGGGGAATCAAGGTAATGAGTGCATTGATAGAAGGGAGGAAACTCGGCAGCAGGAATCCTAAGGAATTCATAAAATTATCCAAAAAATTGGGATAGTGAGGTGAGTGACTGAAAGGGCAAAGATGAAGTAAGCAGTACATTCAGTCACTCATTCAACAATTACGTACTGAATACCTACCGGGTGCCAGGCACTTCTAATTAAAGTCGATTCAAAAACAGAGGCAGTTGCTGCTTACATGAAATTTACAATTTATTGACCTCTTACTATATCCACATTGTTTATGCACTGATAATACAGCAGTTAGAGATAAAAATCCCTGCCTTATGGGGGTGACAATCTACAAAAAGGAAGGACTAAGTAAAGTGAACGCGTTAGACACTAATACAGTAATCGAGTAGGTGTAAAACCGCTCTGGGACAAGCAGGACTACAGGGCATAGTTAGAGACAGTGACAGGGACTGAATCAACTTCAGAAGGTTAAAGGGCGGGGCTCTAGGGGGAAGCGCAGCAAGAGACCTGGGCAGAAGAGCGTCCTTCAGTGGAAGGAGCCGGCTTGTGGACAGAGAGCTAAGGTTGGAAACCTGAATGACCTTCTAGCCTCCAGTTTCCTCCTTCGTCTTCTGACCTAACGAGGTCGTAGGGTGACTTAAGTGAATGACTGTAAGTGAAGTGCAGGGCACAAGGCCTGGTATCTAGAAGCCCCCCAGCCAAGAGCAGTCAAACCCCAAAGTGGAGGCCTGGATGGCACAGGTGAGGGGGCTTCCCCAGCCCGGGAACCCAGCCCCCCCCGCAACCCTCCTCTCCCCGCTCCCTACTGCAACTGCCCGTGCTCCGGTTCCTCGCCCCATCTCCGGTCCCCCGCCCGCCAGAACGCCCGCGAGTTCGGCCGCAACGGCTCGGGAACGGCCGGCGTCCGCGTCTACAGCGCCGCCAGCCGGGTAGGAGCAGCGTCCGACCCCAGCGCCAGCACTCGCGCCACGCTCCGGGAACCAGGTGGAGCCGCTGCCGGGAGCTGCAAGGGGCCGAGAGCCGCAGGTTTGAGCAGGACGCGGGCGTCCGGTGCCAGGCACCCGGTCCTCGTTATCCTTCGAAGTCCCCGGGCGGGGGCTGCGTCCGTCACTCGCCGGGTCGGGCCCCGTCGCGGGCGTTCAGTCAATATTTGCGAAATGAATGAATGACGGTGGTCCTCGAGAGCTTATCTCTCGGAGGCATCATCTCTACTTGTGAAAGGCAAGGACTAGAGGCAATGCGTGCGATTTGCAACGGAATCCTTGCAGACTCATCGGTCTTAGTTGTCTGCAGCCAGAGGCCTCTCCCTACCACCTCACCGTCTGTGCCCAGGAGCGCCTTCTGCTTTCAGACCTCACTGCTCTGTTCATTTGTTCCTTCGGACTGAGCCCCCACTACCACCTGCTATGGCCCCTTTCCTTTAACTCTTGTTAATGAATCAGTGTCCCCGTTTGAAGCCTTCTCCAACATCCGCACCCCCACCATGAGTTTCTCTCCAACACACCCCACTGGTAATAGTCTCACCAAGTCGCATTTAAGGTAGTTGTTCATGTGTCCGGTGGTCAGCTCCTTGAGTGCTGTCGGCTTATTATTCATCCCCAGCCACCGGACAGTGTGACTGAAGGATATTAAAAGCGATGCACCTCGCTCATGCCTTTGCTGTATTCCAAATACATTCCCTATAAAAATGAGGTAGTAACGGCCAAAGGGTTGTTGTGTTTGATGGAACTACAAATGCTTATTTGAAATTTTGGAAGTGAATTTTACCTTAGCATGATTATAGAGGATATAGGAAAGATGACGCTATGGGGCAAAAGATACTTGCAACTAAAGTAAGGTTCAGAATTTCATATCTATAGGTCAGTAGTCAGAAAATTGGGTTGCATTTAAATATTTTTATGCTTGGCTTTTTAAAATACTTTCAACACATCATGTAAATGAATCAATGGATGGCTGGATAGACAGGAGTAGTATGGGGGATGCAGGGATTAGGTCAAAAGTCCCTGTTTTTAACAGTGCTCCCAAAGTTAGCACAGAAAGACTGACCAAGTAAAGATAATTGGCTGCTTTTACAGTGGCCCCCATACTTGACTGTGTATTTGAATCACCTGGAGCTTTTCTTAAACCAGCTGCTGGCCCATCCTCAGAGTTCTGATAATTTAATTAAGTCTTGCTAGGTTGGGCCTGAGAATTTGCAATTCTAACACGTCCCCAGATGATGCTGATGTTAGTAGTGTGGGCCCTCAGCATGGACTACATAGATTAAAATAATTTGTTAATTACTAGGGAAGCATGATGCCCAGAATGACATTTGTAGAATAAGAAAATGAAATCTTAAAAACTTTGGACCTGTGGTCATCCCACCTAAATACTTTGTTTGATGTCAGGAAGCATCAGGGAATTGTTTTTCTTTTTCTTTTCCTTTTCCTTTTGTAAGAGAGAGTGCACAAGCAAGGGGTAGGTAGGGGCAGAGAGAGAATCTCTCCATGCCCAGCACATGGCAAACCAAGAGTTGGGAGACTTAACCGACTGTGTCAGCCAGGCTCCCCCCAAAACTGTTTCTTAAGTGGACACTTAACCTTCAGGATTATGGGTAGAGCTCAGCATGTTGTTGATCACACTGTGGACAGAGGCCCATCACACTGATGCCTTCAGGAGTCAGTAACAGAGACTCCTCCCCCACCCTGCACTGTGTCTCAGCCGATAGGTACATTATTCCATCAGTGTGGTTTGGTAACTTTTTTCTGAAATGTGCCACCTACTCCACATCAAACTACATCTGCCTCTTGTAAATAGGAGCTTCTTGTCATCATACTTTGTCACAAGTGTCCTGCTAGGACATGTAAGTGAAGCACTAGGGTTTCTAGGAAATCCACAAAGACATAATGAAGCTGGACAAACTCCAGAGATGACACACTCCAGACAGCAACAGCAAAAACCAATAAGGAAATCATGCATTTTACCTCACTACCTTTCGCCAGTCGTGTGACGAACCCTGAAAGACAGCATTCCTGCAGCCCCTGCTAGCTATACTCACTGTGGTCCCTCCCCCGAGTTATGACTTGATTCCTTTTGCCCTAAACTACAGTAATACTCATCATCTCCACTTGGACTTCTTGCCTCAGTCTCTCCTGTCCAATAGAACTTTCTGTGATGATGCAAATGTTTCATACTTGCACTGTTCAGTAGGGTAGCCTCTGCCGCATATGGCTGTTGAGCACTTGCAATGTAGCTAATGCAACTGAGGGACTGATTTTTTTCATTTTAGTTTATTTTAATTACATTTAAATAGCCACAGGTAGCCAGTGGCTACCATATTGAACAGTATACCTCTAGACCATACCACTGACACCACTCATCCTCCTAAAAAACCTCCTTGTGCCTATGACTAGTCCTGCTCAAGCACTTTTTTCTTTCCATCATGGTAAGTGTAGTCTTTGATCCCCATCCCCTCTTTCACCCATACCCCCCCCCCAGTAACCATCCTCTTATTCTCTATAGTTAAGAGTTTCCTTGATTGTCTATCTGTCTCTCTCTCTCTCCCTTCCTTTGCTCATTTGTTTTGTAAAATTCTGCATAAGAGAGAGATCATATGGTGTTTGTCTTTCTCTGACTTACTTCCCTTGGCATCATACTCTCTAGCTCCATCTATGTTGTTGCAAATGGCAAGATTTCATTCTTTTTATGGCTGAATAATATTCCATTATATAATATATACCCCATCTTCTTTACCCATTCATCTAGCAGTGGACACTTGGGCTGCTTCCATAGTTTGGCTATTGTAAATAATACTGCAGTAAACATAGGGGTACATGTATCCCTTTGGATTAGTGTTGTATTTTGGGGATAAATACCCAATAGTGCAATTACTGGATTGTAGAGTAGTTCTATTTTTCATTTTCTCAGGAACATCCATATTGTTTTCCACAGCAGCTCTAACCAGTTTGCATGCCCACCAACAGTGCAGGAAGGTTCCTTTTTATCTACATTCTTCCCAATACTTGTTTCTTGTGTTTTTAACTGTAGCCACTCTGACAGGTGTAAGGTGATAAACTCATTGTGGGTTTGGTTTGCATTTCCCTGATGATGGGTGATGTGGAGCATCTTTTCGTGTGTCTGTTGATCATCTAGATGTTTTCTTTGGAGAGATGTCAAAGTTTTCTGCCTATTTTTAATTGGATTAGTTATCAATAATAACTAATAATAATAAGTAACTAATAATTAATATTAGTTATTATTAGTTATTAGTTTTAATTGGGTATTGAGTTGTATCTGTTCTTTATAGATTTTGGACACTAACCCTTTATTAGATATGTCATTGGCAAATATCTTCTCCCATTCTGTAAGTTGTCTTTTAGTTTTGTTGATTGTTTCCTTCAATGTCCAGAAATTTTTTATTTTTTTATTTTTATTTTTTAAAGATTTTATTTATTTATTTGACAGACAGAGATCACAAGAAGGCAGAGAGGCAGGCAGAGAGAGAAGAAGGGAAGCAGCTCCCTGCTGAGAAGAGAGCCCGATGCGGGGCTCGATCCCAGGACCCCGGGATCATGACCTGAGCCGAAGGCAGAGGCTTTAACCCACTGAGCCACCCAGGCGCCCCCAGAAATTTTTTATTTTGATGGAGTCCAAAGAATTTATTTTTTCTTGTATTTGCCTTGCCTTAGGAGACATATCTAGAAAAAATGTTGCTATGGCCAGTGTCAGAGAAATTACTGCCTGTGCTCTCTTCAAGGATTTTTATGGTTTTAAGTTTCACACTTAGGTCTTTATTGCATTTTGAGTTTATTTTTATGTATGGTGTAAGAAAGGGATCCAATTTCATTCTTTTGCATGTTGCTGTCCAGTTTTCCCAACACCATTTGTTGAAAAGACTGTCTTTTCCACACTGTGTATTCATTCCTCCTTTGTCAAAGATTGATTGACCATATAATTGTGGGTTTATTTCTGGGCTTTCTATTCTATTCCATTGATCTATGTGTCTACTTTTATGCCAGTACCATATTGTTTTAATTACTGTTGCTTTGTAATATAACTTGAAGTTTGGAATTGTGATACCCCCAGTTTTGTTTTTCATTTTTAAGATTGCTGTTGGCTATGGAGGTCTTTTGTGGTTCCATAGAAATTTAAGAATGTTTGTCCTAATTCTGTGCAAATGCTGTTTTAAACACTTTAAATAGCTAAAAAGTCCAAGTTCAACCCAGATATTCAAGACCCTCCAGGAATAGGCCTCAACCGACTTTTGGGGGCTTGACACTGACTTCATGCAGATCTTTTTTTTTTTTTTTTTTAAGATTTGTTTCATATCTTTTGGAGAGACTGTGTCTGTGAGCAGGAGAAGGGGCAGAGGGGGAGGGGCAGAGGGCGTAGGAGAGAAACTCAAGCAGACTTTCTGCTGAGCACAGCACTGAAGACAGGGCTCCATCTCACAACTCTGAGGTCAAAACCTAAGCTGAAATCAAGAGTCAGACACTCAACCCACTGAGCCACCCAGGCTCTCCTTTACTCAGATTATTAAATTACTTGCTTTATATTATCTTTGTAATTTTATCTTGTTCTCTTCCTTCAATACCTTATTCTCTTCTCTGCCCCCAGTTTAGACAGAACGGAGTTCATCTCTCCCCAAGGAGGCCTTTCTCATCCCCCTAGATTGGAATTGTTAATCCTACTCTGTAGGAGATCACATGGTATTAGTATGTGGCATGATTTTAGAATCAGAAAGACAAGGTTCAGGTTCTGGCTCAGCTATTTAAGCCTTTTATGACTCTGAGAAACCACTAAACTCATCAGTAAAATGGGTATCATCATCATGAGGAAAAGAGTACCTCTCTTGAGATGTTGTGTGAGAAGAACCTGGCATATGGCAGAGCAGCAATAAATGTTAGTATCACCTGTCTTTCCCACCTCTCAACACTTAGAGCACTATATTTTGGAATTTTTAGTCTGCTGAACTATAGAGTCTTTGTCCTTTTTAATCCCCGTAACACCTAGCATTCAACAAATGTTAGTGGAACACTAAATTAATTGAACACAGATGAAATAGCACGTGAATTCTGAAGCAGAAACAAATGAAGGCCAAGAGTACATATGGTAGAAATTTGTAAAATTGTGAAAATAAAAGCAGATAGACTTATCAAAACTTAGTCTGGTAGATGGGAGCTACCTCTTGAAATATAAGTGATGCAGATTGAAGACAATAGAATGAAACCCTACTTTCTGTAAGTGAACTAGTGGGATCCAATACCTCCAAAGAGCATGACAACAGAAAATATAAATACTTTCACTTGGAAAGAGAGTTAGAGAAATTCTTGGGGGATAAACTATAATTTGTGATAGGATAGCATGAGTGTATTTCGTGGCTTCGACAACAAGGCTCTTGGTACAGAGGTCACACACTGATGGTCCACAGGCTAAATCTGGCCTGCAGAGAGGTTTTGTTAGATATGCTCTGTGTTAAAAAAAAAAAAAAAAAAAAAAGTATAAAGTAATTGACAACATTTCAAAGTTAGAAGATTTCAGATAAAAATCTGCAATTGTCACTCATTTTGAGAAAGATCAGACCTCGCCTGGCTGGGCCCCACTTGCCCCGTGCAAGGAGCTGTTGCTGCCTTCATCAGTCCCACTGTTCCCTCTGTGCCTCAATGTCTATATGTTGCCTGCTTTATGCCAACCCTGCCTTGGTACCACTTTCAGAAAGAAAATGCTAGATTTGAAACCCTGGATCCAACCCAGGATGGCAGTTTTTATAATCTCAGTATAATTGGCAGGTTAATTAGGTTCTCTCAGTTGCCAGGAACAGCTCTCTTCCAGCAATGGAAGCTTATTTTAAGATTACACAGGAAAAGTGAGGATGACTGGGTGAATAGTCCTATGGACAGGGGAAGAAAAGGAAAAATATTACCTGTTTTAATATACAGTTCTGGTTTTTCTGCAAAAAACACATATTACTAATTCTCTTGAGTGATACATTGTAAAATACCTCTTCTGTCCTCTTCTATATTCCCCAATCACATGCCCACTTTATTGAATTTGTGATCTTTAGTTCATAGGTGTTATACAACACACGAGTGCTTTGAGGGTAAAAATACAATCTATGTCCACAGCCCAGTTAGTTAATTTCTCAAAATGTATAAAGTAATTGACTTGGTTTTATCACCCATAAAATGAGCATAATAACAGTATTAGGATTGTCATGGAAATTATGTGAAATAACTCATGAAAAACATCGAGTGCAATGCTTGGTATATAGCAAGTGCTCTATAAATATTGCTGCTGCTGATGATGATATATGATCATTCTGAAGGAAAACAAAGCTGCTGGTACATTAAACTTGTTTTCAGCCTCACTTATAAAAGAACTACTTGGGTAATCTACATATGTTGCATGTTTACCCATGTATCTTATATATCTATTGATAGATACATAGATATATATGCTTTTCCACATTTACGTGGAAGCAATTTAGTTTATGCTTTTTTTATTGTTCAAAAACATGATGAGGGACACCTGGGTGGCTTGTTCAGTTAAGCATCTGACTCTCGATTTCTGCTCAGGTCCTGAAATCAGGGTCATGAGATCAAGCCCAGCATCAGGCTCGTGCTCAGTGAGGAGTCAGCTTGAGATTCCTTCTCCTTCTCCCTCTGTCCCTCCCCCTGCCCACACTCTCTCGCATGATTTCTCTCTAAAATAAATAAATAAATACAATCTTTAAAAAACAGACAAACAAACATGATCAAGAATGATTATACTTTCTCCCAGAAATAGACCTGTAGCCATCCTCAGTAACTGCTACTTCTCATTTTCTTAAAAGAGCAGAGAAGAGCAGAATGATACAGATTTTTCTTAAAACTTAATGTGACCCAGGGCACCTGGGTGGCTCAGTCAGTTAAGCATCTGCCTTTGGTTCAGGTCATGATCCTGGGGTCCTGGGATCAAGCTTCACATCGGGGCTCCTTGCTCAGCAGGGAGCCTGCTTCTCCTTTTCCCTCTCCCTCTGCCACTCCTGCTGCTTGGTTCTCTCTCTCTCTCTCTCTCAAATAAAAAAAATAAAATCTTTAAAATTCAACGGTCTTAGAGACCACGTGTTCCAACCATGTTATTTTATGCATGAAACCAAAGGAAAACTGACCCTCAGTTTCTGAGACACTTGCTCCTAATCATATAGCTAGTTAGAAAAACAGCCTGGGCTAGAACCCGAATCTCTTGATAGCCCATGAAATGTTTTTTCTGCTTCACCATGGTGCCACTAGCTGGTACTTTCCGGCAATATTCTGGCACCTGGGGATATAGCCGTAAACAAAGTCCTGCCTCTTGGGCTTATATTTTAGTAAGGGAAACAGACAATGGACAAATATTGAATCAGGTCCTGACAAGTGCTATGAAGAAAAGGAAAGGATAAAGGGAAGAAGATACTGTATTGACCACTTCACCTTCAGTGTTTGTGGTGAAAATTGATGGTTGTACTGACTTTTGCCTCATAATCATTTCCTCCACAACATAGCAATATAATTGAACATAAAGAAAACTAGGTTTCCTAGCAAGACATTTGGGTTCTAGTCCTGACTCTAATTATTAAACAACCAAGGCTATTGAAACTTTTAGGTCTCCCTGTTTGGAAAATGAGACTAATACACACCTTGCATTTTCTATAGGTGGCTTTGAGTATAAAATTATACAAGAGAAAGTTTTTATTAAGACAGCATGTGTTGGGACGCCTGGGTGGCTCAGTCGGTTAGGTGTCTGCCTTCGGCTCAGGTCATGATCCCAGGGTCATGGGGTCGAGTCCTGCATCCAGCTCCTTGCTTAGCAGGGAGCCTGCTTCTCCCTCTGCCTCTACTGATGCCCCGTTTGTGCTCTCTCTCTCTCTCTCTCTCTGATAAATCAATCAATCAATCAATCCTTAAAAAATAAAAAGACAGTAAGTGTTATGCAAATACTAGCTATCATTATATGGAAATTTTATTTCCGTAAGAATGTGCCAAGAATCTAGATTTTTTTTAAAACTGTTTTTTGTTTGATCTCTTCCCACTCAACCAGGAATGTTGCAACCAGAGAGGAACTCCCAGGGTTTTGGCTATAAATCCAGGCAAAATTCTTTCACATATGATGTCAAGCGAGATGTGTACAATGAGGAGACCTTTCAACAGGAACACAGAAGGAAGAGTATTTCCTCTGGGAACTTGGACATCGACATCACCACGTTCAGACACCACGTCCAGTGCCGGTGGGTGTGGGGGTCATTCAGCTGCTTCCAAGCTGGCAGCACTAAGACCCTACTTTACTCCTACAGTGCCTACGTCTGTCTTCCTCCTCTGAATTCCTATCTTTGGGACCCTTAGGCTGCTGTGTGATTTTTCTTCAGTTGGTTTGCTTATGGTCTGTCCTGTAGCACCCTCTTGATTAAAAATTTCTTGGATGTCCCTGACAGCATCTATGGATGATATTTAATAAATACATCATTTGATTAGCAACTGTTACCAGTCTCCTAAAAACAGCCACAGAAGCAGCAATGATCGACTAAATAGTGGTAGCAGAATGAGATCCTTCTAACCTCATATCCCACGGACCCTAGGCAGTACTTGCACAGCTGTACAATGTAGAACTCACTGCCTCTGATAGTCACTGGGACTATGTGGGTCCTCTAGTTCAGGGGCCCTTAGCCTGTTTTTGTGCTATCAACCTTGCAGCAGGCTGGTAAAGCTAATGGACATCTTTGCAGGATAATTTTTTTTTTTTTTACTTAAAAAAATTGTGGGGACGCCTGGGTGGCTCAGTGGGTTTAGCCGCTGCCTTCGGCTCAGGTCATGATCCCAGCGTCCTGGGATCGAGTCCCACATCGGGCTCCTTGCTCAGCAGGGAGCCTGCTTCTCCCTCTGCCTCTGCCTGCCACTCTATCTGCTTGTGCTCACTCTCACGCTCTCTCTCTCTCTCTCTGACAAATAAATAAATAAAATCTTTAAAAAAAAAATTGTGGTAAAATACATATAACAGAAAACTAGCCATTTTAACCAGTCTTAAATGTACAAATCAGCAACATTAATGACATTTCACGATGTTCTGCAACCACTGTTTTCAAAACTTTTTCGTCACCCCGAACAGAAACTTTGTACCCGTTAAGCAATAATTCCCCATTGTCCCCTCCTCCTCACCCCTGGTAACTTCTCCTCTCCGTTCTGTCCCTATGCCTCTTCTAGATAATTTATTTAAGTGTAATCATGCAATTTTTGTCTTTCCTCTCTGGTTGATTTCACTTAGCATGATGTTTTCACACTTCAACTATGTTGTAGCGTGGATCAGTACTTCATTTCATTTTATGGCTGATGATATCATTGTACATAAATATATTGTATTTTGCATATCCATTCATCTGTTGGTGCACCCTTGGGTTGTTTTCACTCTTTGGCTATTGCGAATAATGCTGCCATGAATATTGGCATAGGAGTATCTGTTGGAGAACCTGTCTTCAACTCTGTCAGGTATATAACTGAAAGTAGAATTGTTGGATCTTATGGTGACTCTATGTTTAATTTTTTGAAGAACCACCAGACTTTTTCATACAAGCTACACCACTGTACATTCTCACTAGCAATGTACAAGTGTTTTTGCTCTGTATCCTTTACAACTTGTGTTATTTTTCTCTCTCTCTTTTTTTTTAATTATAGCCATCCTATCAGGCATGAAGTGGTATCTCATTGTGGGGTTTGGTTTTTTTTTTTTGGTTTTTTTTTTTTGTTTTTTTTTTTTGCATTTCCCTAAGAATTACATATGTTGAGATCTCTTCATGTGCTTACTGGTTGTTCTTATATCTTCTTTAAAGAAATGTCTATTTACCTCTTTTAAAATTAGGTTGTCTTTTTATTGTTGAGTTCTAGTAGTTCTGTACATATCCTGGATACTAAACCCTTATCAGATATATGATTTGCAAATATTTTCTTCCATTCTGTAGACTGTCTTTTCTGTGGGTTGATGGTGTCATTTGGTGCACCAGTTTATAATTTTCATGAGATCGGTCTATCCATTTTTTTGTTTTGTTGCCTATGATTTTGGTGACATCTTTAAGAAACTATTGGGAAAGCCAAGATTATGAAGATTTTCTTCTATAAGTTTTATAGTTTTTAGCTCTTAAATTTAGATTCTTGATCCATTTTGAGTTAATTTTGTATATAGCATAAAGTTAGGGTCTGACTTCATTCTTTCAATATGGAGACCCCATTTTCCCAGAACCATTTGTTGAAGAGATAGCTCTTGGGATGCCTGGGTGGCTTAGTTGGTTAAGCAGCTGCCTTCGACTCAGGTCATGATCCCAGCGTCCTGGGATCGAGTCCCGCATCGGGCTCCCTGGTCTGCGGGGAACTTGCTTCTCTCTCTCTCCCTCTGCCTGCCTCTTTGCCTGCTTGTGCTCTCTCTCTCTCTCTCTCTCACTGTCAAATAAATAAATAAAATCTTTTAAAAAGAAGAAGAAGAAGAGACAGCTCTTTCCCCATTGAATGGTCTTGGCCAGAATATTTTTTTAAAGCATAAAATACATAGGACTGTAAAGTAAACCAGCTAGGTTGAAATATAGTTATCAAAATATTTTAAAATACCACAATAATGTTATTTAATAATGTGGATCTAATAACTATCATAATTTCAAGGTAGTGATGAACATAAATGATATCTTAAGATCTCTGCAGCAATTTGAATGTAATATGAAAATATTGCAGTTTCTATTGGTTACAAAGGTTCTGCTGATACTACAGTGGCTTGTTGTCAATATTCATAATTGATGGAAATGCTAAATTTCAGTTAGGAGGTAATGAAAATAAAGGTATAATTTTTCCTAACTTCACATACCTACAAATTCTATCTACAGACCCATGGGGGAGGGTCCACCGACCTCAGGTGAGGGACCCTTTGTAACCTATATCATTATATCAACCCTAACTATTCAAGCTGTCTTCACTCACACTTGGGATTTATCAGTCTTTCTCATCCCTTGACTTATCACTACAGTTGGCCTGTGTTGGGTGACAAGGGAGGAAGGCCTCCACACAGCCCTATTGTAGACCTTCCTTCTCTGAGGCATTCTCCCTTGTCCATAACCTGCCTTTTGTAAGTTGTGGTCTTGGAGACCCTCCCCAGTCCTACATCACTATTCCCATTTTCTCTACTCCAGATGGGTCAGAGGTCATGTGTCAAAGAGGGGATTTAGGGGCACATTGACTTTGTCTCTACAAAAGGAGAATCTTTTCCTGACTTTTACTCCATCACAAAAAGGTACTACCAAAGAAATTTCAGCCTAACTCCCCCCAACCTGCCCTATCCTTAAGACACTTAAATCTGATCAGTTCTGCATCCCAGCTCCTTATTTCTGAAACATACAATTGTATCCACTTTTGGACTTTTAACATGAAAGGTTGTACAACTCTGTGGTTAAGAGCAAGGCTCAGAAGCCAGATTGCCTGGTTATGAATCCTAGTTCTGCTGCTTCCCAACTGTGTGACCTTAGGTAAGCTATCTAACCCACTTTGCCTCAGTTTCCTTATCTGTAAAAATGGGGATGATATTAGCATCTACGTGACTGTGAAGATTCAAAGAGTATTTGTAAGGCACCTAGCAAATAAAAAACGTGATTTTAGTTGGGGTTTTTTAGTTAAAAAAAAAAAAGTCTCTGAACTCTACATCTTCTTTTTTTTTTTTTTAAGATTTACTTATTTATTTGAGAGAGAGAAAAAAAAAAGCAAGTTGGGGGAGGGTCAGAGGAGAGACTCTTCATGCAGACTCTGCTCTGAGCGTGGAGTATGACACCGGACTCGATCTCATGACCCATGAGATCATGATCTGAGCTGAAACCAAGAGTCAGACACTCAACCAACTAAGCCACCCAGGTGCCACAACCACCTGTCACAACCACCTATCTGTCTTTTCTACAGAAAACCTCATCTCTTTCCTCATCTTCTCCCTTTCCATTAGCAACTACAAATATTCCCTTTCTTGTCAAAATGTCCCCGGTCCTCTCACATAGACTCTTACATTCCTCACTTTTAAGATGCCCTGAGTAAAATCCAGATTTGTGTCAAAATGCTTATACTGCCTCGCCCCCCCACCCCGCCGCGCGCGCGCGCACGCGCGCGCACACACACACACACACACACACACACACCGGCTTTAATTCCTATCCCTCTAGCATCTTCCTTGATTTTCTTTCAGGTCTAGAGTCCCATCATTCCATGTCCACTGTATTATTTTTCCATGCTAAAGAGCTTTGATGACTCTGCCTAGGGTGGCTTGTTTTCTGCCCAGTGGTACATGGGAGAGACGGGATCAGATGAAGGAAAAAATTGTCCCCATGACATGCTCTGCTCTCCCCTTTGGGAGCCATAATTGGAGAAAGCACCCTAGGTATCCTTGCCTAACATCCAAGGACTCTCATAAGAACAGCAATGTGATGTTCCTTCCAAACCAAGGATTTTTTCCTGGCTCCCAAACAGAATTTAATAGCTGTCAATATGAAATATGGTGGTAATAGAGTGGAGAGAACACTGAAGTAAGAATCAGAAGACCTGAGTGGTAGCCCCAGCTCTGTCCACACTACTGTGACCTTGGAAGAATCACTTACACTTATTTGGCCTCAATTATCTTAGGGGGAGTAATGCTCATAGTTGTGAGAGTCAAACGTGAAATTCTTTATGAGCACACATTTTAGCTTTGCATACACAAAAGTTCTATTTGTTACTATAGTCAAATCCCAGTTATCCAACTATAGCTCATACATAAAAAAATCTTCATACTTTTGGCTTTCGGCCCATACTAAGATGTAACTAGCAAAAAGCAATTTAAAACCATATTAGTTTTACTGGTTGATTGATTTTTTTTAAAGATTTTATTTATTTACTTGACAGAGAGAGATCACAAGTAGGCAGAGAGGCAGGCAGAGAGAGAGAGAGAGAGGGAAGCAGGCTCCCTGCTGAGCAGAGAGCCCGATGCGGGACTCGATCCCAGGACCCTGAGATCATGACCGGAGCCGAAGGCAGCGGCTTAACCCACTGAGCCACCCAGGCGCCCCTACTGGTTGATTGATTAACCAATTGACTAACAATGATGCTGCTGTTTTAGATTTAGATTTAGAGCTTAATGTAGGTTTTCTCAATCTCAGCATCAGTAACATTTTGGACCAGAAAATCGTCTCTGGGAGCACCTGGGTGGCTCAGTGGGTTAAGCCTCTGCACTTCGGCTCAGGTC